TAGAAGACGCCCACAAGAAAGAGAGAGTCTTCATGTCTTGTCATTTGTTTGGAAAGCAATTGCGATTTCCTTCGCTTAAAGACAGAGTGTTTAGGCTTTGGCTGATGTCTGGCTCTCCTTTAGTCGCGTATTTGCTTTTCGGACTACTCTTCGCTTCGGAATTCATTCTCCCGATGAAAATTGTTTTATTTTCTCTCTTGTCTCTCGTCAGCTGGGGTTTGGTTCGCTTTATATTTGATGATCGCATGTATAACATAATGCCCATCAGTATCTATATATCAACCAAATTCTGGCTTTACTTCACTTTCATGACATATTTCTATCAATGTATGACATTCTTGTGTTTTGTCAAAGAATTTGTTGATAACTCATAGCATTTCTCTCTCATATAGTATTTGGTTTTATCAATTTGTTTGCATTTGTGGCCACATCTACATTGCTTTTCTATAGCTTTTACCGGACGTGCACTTGTGATCCCGGAGTTGTGGTCAAAGATCATGACCACCGATTTCGAGTCAGACATTCATCTCATTGTATTATTGTCTTTGTATTAAGTTTTTTGTTTTTTCATTTTGTAGACAATTATAGAATTAGCGGAAAGGGATGGTTTCGACCCGCAATGGTTTTGCAGCACATGTTTAATTAGAAAGCCGTTGCGATCCAAACACTGCTCACTATGCAACCAATGTGTGGCCCGGTTTGACCACCACTGCCCGTGGGTCGCCAACTGTGTGGGCGCTCTCAATCACAAGTACTTCATATGGTATCTCATGTCACTATATTTAGTGATTGTTTGGTATCTTTACGGCACTTATTTATGTAAGAATTTGTTTGTTTTATATACGAAACAAAGAATTTTAGGTAAATTGTTGTTTTTGAACAGACATTGAAAAGCACATGACATACAATGAAGACTCCAATGTGTGGACAATTATAGCTTTTTCGTGGTCTCACAGCGGATGGATTACATGGTGTGCACTAAATGCTGCCGTTCACAGCACTTGGGTCTTCTGTTTGGTTTGGTGTCAACTCTATCAAGTAATCCATTGTCTTGAATACAATTTACAATTTTCTAAATATGATTGAATTTCTAACAAAATGTATAACAGATTGTATGGTTGGGAATGACTACAAATGAGCGAATGAATTGTAGGCGTTATAAACATTTTAAAAGGGATGATA